AGGCCTGGACAACAAGAATCCTTTTTCTGGATTGAGTCCACTAATGCTTTGACCCTGAAGTCTGAAAGTACCTTGCCAGTAAGGGACTGCCTTTTAAAGTTCTTTGGGTATTGGACAATACCCCTGGTTACCCAGAACCCCATGAGTTCAGCAATAAAGGCATCAAGTGGTCTACTTGCCCCCAAACACTATGTCTCTAATCCAGCCTCTAGAGCAGGAGGTCATAAGGACCTTTAAGGCTCATTGTACAAAGTACTCTATGGAAAGGACTGCTAATACTAATAGTAGTGAACCCTGATAGAGAAGATCATTCAAAGTCTGGAAGGATTACACCACTAAAGATGCCACTGTTATAGAAAACCCATGAATTCATCAAGCCGAAAATAGTAAATTCCTGCTGGAAAAAACTGTCCAGATGTTGTGCATGTCTCCACAAGATTTACAACAGAGGCAATCAAGAAAATTATGAAAGAGTGCGGATATTATTTTTAAAAGGTGGGAGGTAAAGGGTTTCAAAATAAGGATCTTGGAGACATTCAAGAGTAAATAGACACCACACCAGAGGAATTAACAGAAGATGACTTGATGGAGATGAGTGCTTCAAACCAGGGCTAGATGATGAGAAAGAAGATGTAGAAGAAGCAGTGCCAGAAAATAAATTGATATTAGACAATTCGGAAGAAAGGTTCTCATTATTCAAAACTGCTTTTGACTTCTTTTATGACATGGACCATTTTATGATACAGTCACTGAAACTAAAGCAAATAAGGAAGGATTGGTACCACACAGTAAAATTTTTAGAGAAATGAAAAGTAAAAAAGTCAGACATTACAATATATTTTCACAAAGTTACATCAAGTATATCCTGCCTCTCCTTACACCTCCTCCACCCAAGACAAGACTAATAATCCTTTCTCTTTCTCCTCCTCCTCCTCTGCCTATTCAAAGTGAAGACAAAGAGGATGAAGATCTTTATAAGCCATTTCCCTCTTATTCAGTCATATATTTGCTCTTACGATTTTCTCAGTAACATTTTCTTTCCCCTACGTACTTTATTGTAAGAATACAGTACATAATAAATATACAAAATATGTGTTAATCAACTATGTTATTCATTAAGATTTCTGGTCAAAACAAGGCTATTCGCAGTTAAGTTTTTAAGGAGTCAAAAGTTATACACAGATTTTCAACCACCAGTGCCCCAACCCCTGCACTGTTCATGGGTCTACTGTACTACACTTACTTATACATTTATATATTACTTCATTAAAATACTATTCAAGTATCTCTTGATTCTAAGAATTTCAAACTCAAGGAATTAATTCTAATTAAGTCTGATAAAAATTTTTATAAGCTTTGCTCCAACTACTGCCAACAACAATAATATCTAGTTCCCACTATAGACAAGTGTAGCTAAATTCTGGTAAACATACCCAATACTTAACTGGTATTCCTCCAACATCAACATACCATCTGGATCTGAAAATAACATTCCAAGAGAAGGGCACAAGGCAAGCAAACATTCAGTGTGGGAATGGAAGGTCAACCCAACATAATTCTGAACTTATTATGTTAGACAGTTTGCAGACTAGCAAGCACCTTTGTGTTCCAGCACACTGGGCAAGTTAGCTGCATTACAGAAGAATGGGGTATTATATTACTAATTTAAAAACACATTTTTAGAAACCACTTTTTGCTAAGTTAGGGACGTTTGGCTTCTTTAAGGTGGGTAAGCCTACAGACAAGAGAGGAATATATATTCTTATTAAATAAGTTTCTAAAAAGGAGAATTTTATTATCCCTATTCTTCCCCCTAATACCTTCAGATGTGAAAATCAATGCCCAGAGAATGTGAATCTATTTGCCAATCTAATATCAATTTCCTCTTCATTTCCTTTATTTAGCTTCCAATTATCTTTGGAATAGCAGGCTCTGTTTGCAGCTAAGGGTGTCATGTGACATTCGGCCAATAAAATGAAGCAGAGGTTTAATGGATAGGACTTCAAGATATTTTTTTCCTAATACAAAGAATATAGGGTAGATCTTTAGTCTCTCTTCTTTCTCCTTTCCTCCTGCCTAGAACAGAGAACCATGGTAAATGAGAGGAGCCACCTTTGTGAACATGCAAACAAAAAGCTACATTCTAAGAAAAAAAGTAAAAAGACAGGACTCAGATCCTTAAACATATTATGGAGTCACTAAAGCACACCTATGCTTTGGCCTTCTTGTTAATTGAGAAAAAGAAACCCTTGTTGAACCACTGCAATCAGATTTACATTGTGTGTAGCTAAATGCCATCCTAACTGATATAGTGAGATAATAAGGGAGAGTGTCAAAAGAACAAGAGGGATTCAAAGACTTAAGCTCTATATTTAACTTTTATATGCCTGTTTTTTTTTTTAATTAAAAAAGGTCACCGTAATTTCCATTTTATATTCCTTCCAGAGTTACCGAAGACTGAAAAAGCTTATGTCAATGCACTTCATAAACTGTGAAAATACAAAATAATTGTAAGATACTATTAAGGAGTGGTTAGTTCTTATAGTAACATTTTGAACTTATGGTTTTCATGATAGGAGCTCCTAAGTTCATTTTTTCATCTATAAAAAAGGATAATGTCTTTCCTTGTCACATAGTTACTGAAAGGTTCAAATAAGATAACATTAAGTATACTGCAAATTGTTAAACACTATATAAATATTAGAAATTACGGTGTTATTATTTTGAAAGTCGTGTGATACTGATTTGAATAAAATTTCTATGGTTGATTCTACCACTAATTTACATGAATGACCTTGAGGAAGGTATTAAATTTTTGAGTCTCATTTCCTCATTTGTTAAGTGAGAGTACTGATTTTAGTAACTGTGCCCCTCTCTCTGTGTAGCAGTACTATGCTGTACTCCAACATCTACTTTCCCTGTTTTCCTTGAAAGACAGAATCCCTAAATTTTAGTTTGGATGGCCATTGAAAATAAGGACTACATTTTTTTGCCTTCTTTGCGACTGGGTTCTAGATAGGTTTTGATCAATAGGATGTGAGGTGAAGAGATGCATGTTTGACTTCACAAGTCAAACCCTTAATGGGAAATGTCCTCTATGTCTCCCTTTTTACCCTTTCCACGGGTGAAATATGGCCGAAGTGGTGAGCCATCCTCAGTCACACAGAGGAAGACAACAGCAAAGCAACAATAATAGAGAGAGAACTGCATGCCTGGCACCAGGGAACCACCCTGGCAGTCATGGGCTGCTTATATACTATCTGTTAAAGAGGTTGTATTCAACCTCATATATTTTGGTGTACATTACAGTAGTCTAAATTAACAGCCTAGTGTGTATTCCAACTAATTCAGTAAGGATTAAGGAAAATATGTGAAGGTAATCCATAAACCATAAAGCAACTATATAATTAATCTTACAGTACATTGTCATAGTAATGGTATAAATCTTTTGTAGCTTATCAAACCATCAACTTTAAAAATTATTTGAATTATGAAAAGAAGAAAAAAGGTCAGATAGCATAAAGTGGACTTGATTTTGAAACACAGAGCCAACACTCAAATAGATGTTTAGCCAATCTCAGAGCAGCCAGGATTTGGGATTCACAGTTACGCAGCAAAGCAAATACATAATTTTAGAGTAATCAAAAATTAACTTTGTCTTTCTGCTTCTCCCCACTTCACAGACAGCCTTTTTATGTTAATTATCAGTCACGCCCCCTAAGACACAATGGGGATGACTGCAGTAAATGATGGTAGTATAGGATGCCCATTGAGTCCATATCCTAAAGCTGCCATAAAAAACTACAGGTTGAAAATTCCTAATCCAAAATTCCAAAATCTGAAATGCTCTAAAATCCAGGACAAGCACTGACATGATGTCACAAGTGGAAAATTACCTACTGGACCTCATGATAGTTCACAGATAGACCTTTGCTTCAACCACAAAATTATTTAAAATGTTGTATAACATTACCTTCAAGCTATGTAAACAAGCTATATACGAAATACAAATAAATTTCATGTTTATACTTGGGTCCCATCTCCAAGATATCTCATTATATATATGCAAATACATTAAATCTGCAATGTGAAACACTTCTGGTCCCCAAACATTTCAGATAGTGGATACTTAATTTGTACCACAAATTTGGTGGCTTATAAAAATATATATATTTTCTTATAGTTCTAAAGGCCAGAAGTCTAAAATCAAGGGGTCAGCAGGGTTAGTTTCTTCTGGAGGCTCTGAGGGAAAATAACTTCCATGGCTCTCTCCTAGCTTCCGGTGACTGCAGTCCTTAGCCTATTAAAGACATCACTCCAATCTCTGCCTCCACCTTCACATCATCGTATCCCACATATGTCTGTGTCCTTTCTGTTTCTTATAAAAACACTCTAATTTGCTTAAGAACCTTCTCTAATCCAGTATAATCTCATCTCAATGCTTACCTTTACATTGTGTTGTTATGGTTAAACTGTGTCCCCCAAAAAGATAAGCTGACATCCTCACTCCCAGCACCTCGAAATCTGACTTTATTTGGAAATATGGTCATGGTAGATGTACTAGGTTAAGATAAAGTCACACTAGAGTAAGGTGGGTGCTTAATCCAAAATGACTAGTGTGCTTGTAAGAGGAGAAGAGACACAGACACACAGGATGCCATATGATGATGGAGGCAGAGATTGGAATAAACACTTATAAGCCAATGAATGCCACAGATTGCTGGCAAAATGCCAGAAGCTAAGAGAAAAACAAATAGATTGTCTCTTACAAGTTTCAGGGAGAGCATGGCTCTGCCAGCACCACGATTTTAGATTTCTAGGCTCTAGAACTGTCAGACACTACACTTCTGTTGTTTAAGACACATGATTTGTGTTTTTTTGTTACAGTAGCCCTAGGAAACTAATATAGGAGTGGACACAAATTTGGGTATATGACAGTAAATACTAGAGACAAATGGTTCCATAACAGTAATTCTTGAAAGCTCTAGCAAATTTCATACCTGTATATTCGGAAAATGGCTTATGTATAACTCCTAACACAGGTTTACCATTTACAGCTACACACACCATAGTAGTGACGTACTTTCGAAGATCCTCTACGAGAAAAAAAACAAACAACACACACAAATGTCAAAGTAATGTGCATAAATTCAGGATACGATATTACACTTTAGTTCATTAAAAAATTTATATACATGAAATATGAAATGTCTTTCCAAAACAACAATCCCTTCAAGCAAACAGAGTCCAAGGGCAAGAGCCAGTTTAAAGGAGTGGCTAACAGTTCTGGTTCACAATAAGATACCATCTCACACCAGTCAGAATGGCTATTATTAAAAAGTCAAAAAATAACCGATGTGAGTGAGGTTGTGGAGAAAAAGGAATGCTTATACACTGTTGGTGGGAGTGTAAATTACTTAAGCCACTGTGGAAGACAGTGTGGCAATTCCTCAAAGGCCTAAAAAAAGAAATACTATTTGACCATTACTGGTCTAAAAGAATATAAATCATTCTATCACAAAGACGCATGCATGTGTATGCTCACTGCAGCACTATCCACAATAGCAAAGACATGGAATCATCTTAAATGCCCATCAATGATAGACCAGGTTAAAAAAAAAAAAATGTGGTACATATACACCATGCAATACTATGCAGCCATAAAAAAGAACAAGATCAGGTCCTTTGTAGGGGCATGGATGGAGCTGGAGGCCATTATCCTTAGCAAACTAACACAGGAACAGAAAACCAAATACCAGGTGTTCTCTATGTGGGGAGCTAAATGATGAGAACACATGGACACATAGAGGAGAACACCACACACTGGGGCCTTTCAGAGGACACAGAGTCAGAGGAGGAAGAGAATCAGGAACCACAACTAATGGATACTAGGCTTAATACTTGGGTGTTGAAATAAATGTGTACAACAAACCCTCACGACACAAGTTTACCCTATGTAACAAACCTGTACTTATACTCCTGAACTTAAAAGTTAAAAAAAATTGCATTTAGAGTCATAACTCTTTTATATTATAAAAATCACACAAACAAAAGAGTTCTGGTTCTAAAGGCAGACTACCTGGGTTATTCTCCTAGCCCACCATTTTGTTAACTGAATGTCTTTGAGTAAATCACTTAAATTCAGCTTCCTTATCCGTATAATATAAACAACAACTAAGCACTCATCTTTAGGTATAAATTAAAATAACTTTTAATTTAAAAAATCAAATTAGACACTTAAAATAATCCCTGCACAAGGGATGTGCTCACTAAATGTTATTATTATAAGAACAGGCCAATCTCAGTTTAGGAAGAACTTTTTATGAACAAATATTCTGTATTTCTATTATCTATTCCTGAAAAGTTCTATGTTGTAATTTCAGTTACTATTAGATATATACATCCAGAGTCTTCTCCCTGTTCTCCAAAGTTATATATTGATTGTTATGGTTCAAGTTCAGCGCAAAAGCACTGAAATACAAAGGTAAAAAGGTAGAAGCCTCCATATCTAGGGAACTTACCATCTAGCAGGATAAACAGATTAACTTTAACATATAAACCAAAGGAAGAGCGAAAGGCAGAAATTAGCTACCTCTGGGTAAGAAATAAGGCCTGAGACGGGATCTACAAAAATAAAATTTGACTAGGACTAGGTAAAAAAGGAGACTGGAGGGGCAGTAGTTCTGTTTTATTACTTACTTGCTTTCTGAGTACCTAGAAATTTACTATTTTGAATTCCAAAGTCAGATGTACACGCATTAAAACTTAAATTCCTAATATCCTGAGTAAATATTAAATTCTGGCTAAAGAAGTTTCTTCAGTTATAGGTGTCCAATATAAAACATTTTGCTACTACTGTTAAAAATGCTTCTTTACTGAACAAACAGTGAGCCACTATCACCTATAGGAAGTATGCCTTGGTTCTAGCTCTCTACTACTAAATGTCAATCAAATGTTTTGAGTTCAGTTTAAAAATTACCTGTATATTCCTGTGTAGCATCAAGTGGGTCAATCCAGACAGTAACACTTTCTGCTGGTACCTCTTTAGGAGTAGTTACTTCCTTTAGGATATCCTCAGGAATCTTATGATCCCACAAGATAACCTCCTGATCAGCTGCATCCACGTGTTCCTCAGTATTTATCTGCATTAAAAACAGGTGACAGTTAAAAAAAGAAAGAAAAATAATCACTATTTGATAAACTACAAAAGTATTACAGACAAAAATCACACAAATTATAAATAAGTAAATCTCTATTTTTATTTCTTTCGAGGCTCCATATTGCAAAATGAAAAAGAAAAAAAAAAAAATCCATGACATCAGGTCTTTAAATGCTTCCCAATCTAATATTCAAACTTGGTTTGTTGACTAATCAAGACAGATAATTCAGACATAGAGAAATATCGAGAAACTGAGCATCAAAGAAACAAGCTACTTAAACCTTAACAACGCTTTATGAAAAACAATAGCTCTTTTTCATATGAATAACAACGCTTTATGAAAAAGAACAGGCCAGGCGCAGTGGCTCAAGCCTGTAATCCCAGCACTTTGGGAGGCCGAGGCGGGCGGATCACGAGGTCAGGAGATCGAGACCATCCTGGCTAACATGGTGAAACCCCGTCTCTACTAAAAATACAAAAAACTAGCCGGGCGTGGTGGCAGGCGCCTGTAGTCCCAGCTACTCGGAGGCTGAGTGAACCCGGGAGGTGGAGCTTGCAGTGAGTCGAGATCGCGCCACTGCACTCCAGCCTGGGTGACAGAACTAGACTCCGTCTCAAAAAAAACAAAAAAAAGAAAAAGAATAGCTCTAAAGTGTTAAAATAGACAATATTCTGGAACACAACACAAGCAACTAGAGTTAGAAGACAGACATATCACAGAATAGAGAGGTACACTCAATTTTCTACCTTTTTTTTTTTAACTAAGGAACAAAATTAAAACATAAAATAAATTTAACTTACCATACAAATACGTAAGGATGTGGGGTAAGGAGAGAAATATAAGTAGAGGAAGGGTTGTTACGAGAAGAGAGGAATATATTCTCTCCTTACCCCACACGCTTACATACGTATACACACACACACACACTCCCTTACATATATATATTCTCTCTATATATGTTACATATTATTTCTTATATATAACATATATATACATGTGTTTGTATAATACTTTATATAAGTATTCTATTCATTTACAAATACATTACAGATTCCTTTAAATTGAGATTGCTCAACTTTGGCACGAATGACAATTTGGACTGTATATTTCTTTGTCGTGGGGTTGTCCTGTGCATTGTAGGATGTTTAACAGCATCCCTGGCTAAATGCCACTAGAATGTACTAGATGCCAGCAGCAACACCCTCAAGGGCGACAAACAAAAATGTCTCCAGACATTGTTAAGTATGCCCCTGTCCCATCCTATGAAAAAAACAGTTTTTAACAGTGTACTTCTTAATGCATGCTAAAATATAGCCTAATGTTTTGGCCAAGTGTGGTGGCTCATGCCTGTAATCCCAGCACTTTGGGAGGCCAAAGCGGGTGGATCACGAGGTCAAGAGATAGAGGCCATTCTAGTCAACATGGTAAAACCCCATCTCTACTAAAAATACAAAAATTAGCCAGGCGTGGTGGTGCGTGACTGTAGTCCCAACCACTCGGGAGGCTGAGGCAGGAGAATCACTTGAACCCTGGAGGTGGAGGTTGCAGTGAGCTGAGATCACGCCACCGTACTTGCCAGCCTGGTGACAGAGCAAGACTTCATCTCAAAAAAAATATATACATATAGTAATAATAATAAAAAATAATGTTTTAGAACTGCATTTACTTTTATAAACTTGCATATACCAATGGACTAAATCTAAGAATTGAATGTTAAGTTAAAAACAGATCATCAATCTTATTTGAATACCGCCTCACCATGAGACTTCTATCACATAGTAATACACACGCACACAAGAAAAAACATCCCCAAAATGTGGATTTTAGTTAGGGACTTACACCCTCAGCAGGACAGGCTGTTGGGTCCTGAGCTTTCTGACAAGTTCCCTTTCCAGAATAGGTCATGTGTATGCTACATGTGATACCATGCCTAGACCCCATGCTACAGTGCCAGAGTGATCACAGCACTGACAATACATGAGTACTGTCAATACACCATCTCTCACCTGGATTCCTAGAATAGTCTTCAGAAAGTCACAGACATGATTTTAAAAAATACCACAACTATCAGCAATCTCCAGAAGGTACTCTGAAACACCCCAAATTATCACAGGAGAGGTTAAAAATAGTAATAGTCTAGAAACATCAAACCACTTAAATCATTATTTTTTTCTTTTTTCTTTTTTTTGTGAGATGGAGTCCCGCTCTGTCTCCAGGTTGGAGTGCAGCAGTGCGACCTCGGCTCACTGCAACCTCTGCTTCCCAGGTTCAAGCGATTCTCCTGCCTCAGCCTCTGGGTAGCTGGGACTACGGGCGCCCGCCACCACACCCGGCTAATTTTTGTATTTTTAGTAGAGATGAGATTTCACAGTGTTGGACAGGATGGTCTCGATCTCCTGACTTCATGATCAGCCTGCCTTGGCCTCCCAAAGTGCTGGGATTACAAGCATGAGCCACCGCGCCTAGCAAATCCTTAAATATTTCTTAGTACAGAGCAAAGTAAACATTCAATTTATTCACTTATGTCTTTATTAATTCAGCAAACGTTTATTGACTGCCTATTATGACAGACACAGTTATAGGTCCTAAAGATACCACAGTGATCAATGTGAGACAAAAATTTCTGTCCTGTGGAACTCAGATTCCAGTATAGATAAACGAGACACATGAAAAAAACATGTAGCATGTTGGAGAGTGGTAAGGAGGAGGAAAAAAAAAACAAAAGGACAGAATGAGTGCTAGAGAGTAGAGAAAGGATTGTTAGAGAGTAGAGGAAGGGTTATTCTTTAAGAAAAAGGGTAGATAGGATTAAGAAAGGGTGGCTAGGCAATTACTCATACTAGCTAAAACCAGAGAACTACTAAGTCCATCAATTAGTAGTTTATCCATTATCCTGATGAATGGATAAATATATTTGGTATATCCACACAATGGAAAGTTACTCAGCCATATATGGGAATAAAGTATTGAAGATACTAAATCATGGATGAATCCCCTTGCTTTGTGAAAGCATCAACACAGAAGAGACCATATACGGTTTGATTCCATTAATGTAAAATGTCCAGAAAGGCAAATCTACAGAGAAAGACAGATTAGTGGTTGCCCAGGATAAGGGATAAAAACAAGAATAAATAGTTAATGGGGACAGGGGTATTATTAGGGTGGTGAAAATGTTCTAAAACTGATTAATGATGATACTTGTACAATTTGGCAGTTCTACTAAAAATTACTGAATTGTATACTTGAAATAGGCAAATTGTATGATATATAAACTACGCTGCAATGAAGTTGTTTAAAAAAAAAAAAGTAAGGTAGCTAGAGAAGCCCCTCACTGAAAAGGTGGTATTTGAGTGAAGAGATCTAAAGAAAAATAAGCCTAGTGGGCAGCTAGAAGTGCATTCTAGCCCAATAAATAACAAATGAAAAGATTCTAAGGTGGGAATATGCCTGGTGTGTTCAGAGGGCAGCAAGGAGGCCAGCAAGGCTATAGCAGACTGAGCCAAGGAGAAAGGCTAAGGAGTTGAGGTCAGAGAGTAATGGAAGCCAGATGGTGAAGGACCTTGCAGGCTGTTAACACAGAGTCAGTTGCCCTCCATCATAACAGTTATCAACAATGTGCAGAGGGTCCTAGTCATTGCAGTAAGCTAAAGAGAGGGGGAGAGGAGCAAGTGGGGAGGTATAAAGTTTAGAAAGAAACAAACAAACAAACCCATAATATGAAGTTGATTATTGAACACTGAGAAAATCTAAAAGAACTTGCAGATAAATGCAACTCCAATCAAAATCCCCACAGGTGTTTTTTTTATTGGTGGTGGTGGTGGTTTTTTAACCTTCTCCTTGGAAACTGGACAAGCCATTTCTGAAAATTACCTGGTAGAACAAAAAGTCAAGAAGCAACACATTTTGGGAAGAAGGGGTAAAAAATACCATCATGGTGTGGTGACTTACCTTATCAGATATCAAGACCTATTTTAATGACAGAATAATTAAGACAGTGTAACACTGGTGAGGCATTTCGGCTTCAGAAACCACTCTTAACAACAATGCCAGACTACTTCAGATCAATGAAGGTTAATAGTAACACCAAGCAAAAAGGAATAAACTTTAAAAAAAAAAGAAACGTGACTCCTAGAAAAGACAAAGTAGTTTATGGGCCTTAACCACTGTAACTTACAAAAATGGCAGTGCCAAGTCCGGCAACTATGGAGCTTCACTGATTTTTTGTAGAATTCAAGTCAGCTCCATATACTTGCAACTGAGTATGAGAGAACACATTATAGAACAGTATTTGAAAAAATCTTCACTGAGAATCGGGTTAGGGAGAAACAGCAGGAGAACAAGAACGTTAGCACAAGTACCTAATCTGCTTTTGTGTAACTGCTATTTATAAACTGCCACAACCACCACACACCTACAAATTTGAAAAATCTACTACCCACCAATATCAACAACCTTATCAATAGTTGCTATGGTCAACACCAGAAAGTCTTCCTCAATCCTTTTTCACATGCCACATCCAATCAAGTCAGTAAGTCCTGGAAATTCTACCTCCCAATTCTAAATATGTAAATATGTCACCATGTCTACCAAGAAAATATTAGTTTAGGCCACCATCTCTCACCTGGATTCCCACAATAATCCTCAATTGTTCTTGCCTCCTACAGTGTATTCATTCACCCATTCATTCAACATCTAATGACTATATACTCTAAACTGTTTTGGGCATTGGGATACAGTAATGAACAAAACAGACAGAATCACTGCTTTTACAGAGCTTCCCTTCTCAACCCAGCAACCTGCCATCTTCCTAAATCAGACCATGGCACTCTAGTTTAAAATCTTCCAATGGTTTCTCATTATGCAGAGATAAAATCCAGACTCCTTATCATAATCTACAACGTTACGTCCTAGATGATCCGGGTAATGACAGCAGTAAATGCTATCCAGTAATTTCTCTCTATTTGCACTCTTATTTACTGTACTCCAGC